TGCTTTTAGAGTTGGCATTGAGAAATCAGAAGCCGTTCCGCTTCCTGATCTTCCAGTGTGAGCCATATGATCCTCCCCTCCCAGCACACCCTTCCCTCCATTTCTAGAAATGGAAAATCTGGCCCACAGTGTTCTTAAGTTCCACGGTGGCATGTGTGGACATGGGTCTTTGATCTATTTTGTCGAGTATTTGGTGGGTCCTTTTAATTTGGGCAACTCATGATTTAAGTTCTAAGAAATTTTCTTGAATGCTTCTCTTGCGTTCTTCCACTCCATTTCTTTTGTTCCTTTAGCTTTACTTTCTGGGGCATTTCCTCAACATTATCTTCTAGCCCTTTTATTGAGTTTTAAATTTCTTAAGGTATTTCTTTTTCAAGAGCCCTTTTTTAATTTTCTGAAAGTTCTGTTTTTGTTTCATAGTTATAATAGCTTTCTGGAGATATGGTAGTTTGAAGGGTTTGGTTGTTGGTTTTTTTTTTTTTTTCTTGTTTAGTCTTCTTCCTTTAGGTTGCTCTTTCTGTTTTGTGATCTCTCCCTTCCAAATTACATACTGTTCTCCAGATACCTCGGGAGCTTGGCGGTCTGCTCTTGAGTAGGAATAGAGCAGTGGTTCTCAATTGGAGCGTATTTTGCCCCCCCAGGGGACATATGACAATGTCTGGAGACGTTTTTTGGCTGTCAAAACGGGATCAGGGATGCTGCCCGGATTGCTGTTAAGCATCCTACAATGCAGAGGACATCCTCACACAACGATGAACTATCCAGGCCAAAATGTCAGTAGTGCTGTGGTTGGAAATCCCGCAGTAGAGGGATTGAAGGCTGATTGAGAGCTCTGAACTTGTGGGCGGAGCTCGTTGAGCAGTTCAAGTCCTTATCTATAGGTCTTTCCTTCTGGCCTGGTCATATACACAACAGAAAATCTCCTGCCTGGAGAATAAAGATCTAGCTTCTAACGTACCCCCTGTTAAGGGAGAAAGGAGTGGGGCTGTCTGTATTCAGTTTTGTGTGTGATCACTCAATCCCCTAGCTTTCCATTTACTAGTACCCACTTCCTCAACTGCCTTGTGCCCCCAGTTCTCAGACCCTATGTTTTACCCTCTCTAGAGCAGATCTGTGATAGAACGACAGTAGGGCAGTTGCACAGTGAGATGGAGTATGGGTGTGGAGGGGACCTAGGACTCTTAACTGCTTCTCTAGAGATTTCATTCAAACCTGCTCTTTTAGCCCCACCCTCTTAACCTCTAGTTCCAGGGTTTTCTGGTGCTGCCAGTTTGAGTGTCTTGAGGATTCTGGAGTGTATATGGGTTTGGTTTATGAACTTTCCTTATTTTCTCTTTGCACTTCAGCTTTCCTGACTCTGGTAAGTCAGTTACCAGTACTCCATCTGCTTTTTTGCTTCCCAAATTTGACTATTACTGTTGTCTCCTCTAGTGTCTCCTAGTCCTTTTTAAAAAGTGATAGCCCCTTTGGTATCGTTGTAGTGGAGTCTGGGGAGGAAAATAAATGAGATGCATTGTGTTAAATCTGTTATCCTGGAAACCAACATACTACTATATTCTAGCCTGATTTCAGCCTTAATTCTAGTCTCCTTTTTTGATATGTTTACTTTTGGTATCAAAATTGTTCATTTCCAGGGCGCCTGGGTGGCTCATTCGGTTAAGCATCCAGACTCTTGATTTCAGCACAGGTCATGATCCTCAGGGCCCTGGGATCCGAGCCCCATGTCAGGCTCCCCACTCAGCAGGGAGTCTGCTTGAGGATTCTGTCCCTCTCTCTCTGCCCCTCCTCTCTTTCTCTCTAAAAGAATAAATAAATAAATAAATAAATATTTTTTTTTTTTATTGCTCATTGCCTAGACTTAACCTTTTTCACATAAATGAAAACCAGAGGAGGGGACTCTGTGACTGCATAGAGACGCAGCTGCATTTTTTTCAAAACCTTAGGGCGTGGTACAGCAATATTTATTCATTTACAACATATTCTGGTTTCATTGACCTTTTACTTAAAAACAGAATTCTGTGAGCCACCACCTGCCTCAAATGGGACCTTGTGCCACAATCCTAATCAAAATTCATTATTCTAAAAGAGTTGAACAACGAACTTCTATTTTATCAAATCTGAAATGCTATCAATTATCTTATTTCATTTTGATTAACATGCTGGCGAGAATTAGTAGAAATATGAGAAAGATAATAGCTTATGATGATGGCTTACAACTGTCTGTCAATATTTCCCGCCACATAAATACTCAAGAATCAGCTGTACCATAGACAAAAAAAAATGTGAGGATGAAATTTCAAGCATGGAAGAGTTTCGGCCAGATGAATGACCAGACTTAGGCCTCCTGAATTTTTGCTGTTCCTTAAAATATCATTCAAATATAATTAATAAGTATAAAACATTTACTGTATTACACACACTTTATTACACCCTCTTTTTTTTTAAAAGATTTTGTTTATTTGAGAGAGAGAGCACAAGCAGAGGGAAGGGGCAGAGGAGAGGGAGAAGCAGACTCCCCTCTGAGCAGGGAACCCAATGTGGGGCTCAATCCCAGGACCCCGGGATCATGACCTGAGCTGAAGGCAGATGCTTAACCAATTGAGCCACCTAAGCGCCCATATACCCTCTCTTCTTAAGATGGGAAACCAAGCCAGAGTATTTCATTGCCTGCCCATCTTCAACCTATCAACCAAATATAGGTACTCAAATCCTGCTAAAATTACAGACACTCTATAACTGTTCAAATTTTTATCAGTTTCCACTGAGTTTCTGGTTGATGGATTAAATCATAAGAAAAACTTAAAAGTATATTTCAGTGTCTTTTTTGTGTACTAAATTTGATTCACTTCTCCTAACTCCTGGGTGCCATTGAGGGACAGACCCTTGAAATGCTTTACTTTTTGACCTGTCTTCAGGTCATCAGTAGTTCATAAATAAACTCATTTTCCTTGCCTCACATTATAGAATTAGCCTAAAGAATTGAGGATTGGGTTTGATTTTTATTCATAGACTTAAATGCTTTTTTTCCCCCTCCAAATTCCCTTTTCTCTCCTTTTTCTGTAGGTGTCTTCATTTTACTATTACTAAAAGGGCAGGGAGAGAAGCTATGCTTTTCTTGCCTACCTTTCATCAAACAGGAAAAAGTAAAAAATTGACTCTGTGGTCCACAAATAATCCCACATACAGATCTTGGAAAATTTCCAAAAAGATATAGTGAATTGAAGCACACTACACAAATGTATATATAAATAGAATCCCAAGGGTTTAAGTGTGGACAAAAACCAGTTACATTAAGCATTTCCTGAAATTGCTTGCTGTTGTCAGGATAAGTAGTCACAACTAAGACATCCAGATTGAGAATGAAAACATTTGTGGGAGTCCTGCCTCACTTTGTTATATTGTCTTCTCTTAGAGCAAAATCTTTGAGCAGTTTGGAGTGGTTATCGAAAAGGTCCTCTTTCTTCAGAGTTCTGAAAGGCACATTATTACCATTTTTTTTCCTTCCAGTTGAGCTTTGTTAGGTTGCTTGAAGAGAGAGATTTGAGGCTGCAGTGTAATTGATGTCCAGAGGATGGCATGGTGAAATCAACTAATTCATATGATGTTAGAGAAATGTTTAAGTCTGGGTTAGATTATATTCTTTGTCCCCTAATTGAGAGAAAGACAAACTTCTTTAAGGCAAGCGGGATCACAGGTGCCCCAATGTAAATGAAGAATTTATCTGCTGATTGACCACGGGCATCCACATGTACTGTTTTTACCTGTAAAAGCTAAATAACGAGGGTGTTATTTTTCCTGAGGGGGGTGGATACACATGTATATACCTGTACATGTATTTAATGACTTAAACTATAATCGCCTTCAGATAAATTGCTATAGGATATTGCTGTTGTATTCTGTATTCAGTAGTCAAATCAAGCATGTACATGTACAAAACAATCTTTGGATTATCTTTGGTTCAGATACTTATTTGATAACTATTAATCACAAGGAACTGTGTGTGCCCACGTGTGTGTGTATGTAATGCGTGGGCCCAGGCATTGGTGTTTTATCAATCATCACAGCTGATTCAATTGTATGGCCAATATTGAGAGCCACCAATTTAGGGAGAGAGCTGGATGACTCAAATGAGTACACCAGTGGCTCTCCTGGTAGAAAGTACTTCCTTTCCTACGGCAATTTAGAACAATTCTAATTTGAAGTTTAAGGAAGATAGATTTCTCTGTAACTTCTTGTGAGACCAGAGAGGTTGTTGGAGGCAAAGTCATGCAGGGTTTCTCTTTGTGAAGTGCCTCTCTGTGTCTTTTGGCTAGATTTTACTGGGGTGTATTTTCCTATTTGGGAATTATTTATGTGTTTCAGTTCCTAACCAAATATATGCATTGAAAATACCTTCTTTCTCTGGGATTTTGAACAGAAACATAAGATCAGATTTTCATTTTTAAAACATGACTCCAAGAATGAGTGGGAGAAACAAGTTCTTCAGTAGTGCTGGTAGAAGATGGTAGTAGCTTAGACCTAGGGTATGATACATGGAGAGAGGTGGACAGGATTGAGAGAGATTTGAGAGAAGGTCGGTAGGACTTGTTAGTGAAGATTGGACAGGTGGTGGGTAAGGTGAGAGGGGAAGGGGTCAAGAATGACTTAAGTTTCTGCTTCAAAAGATAAAAGCTACGTGTGTACTACCACTGTGATTTCTTACTTTAAGATGTTGATAATATATGTAGAATATTACAAAAATTATTTGCCTTGAATATAAGAATACTAGTTAGAATTTTCAGAAGTCATTTTGAAATGCAAATTTGTTTTCTCTTCTGGTTTAATAACTTTACCGTACGACTTATTTACCTCATGGATTATAGAAAAATATGTTCAAAATTATAGTACTTAAATTTGATCTTAAACTATAGCCATAGTAGACAATGAAACATCAGTAAGATGTTGATGGGGACGTTAATTAAAAACAATGAATTAAACTTGGCCTTTTTTTTTTTTTAAAGGGGTCCCTTCAGTGTTGTACGACGATGTATCAACAGAGAAACTGGGCAACAATTTGCTGTAAAAATTGTTGATGTAGCCAAGTTCACATCAAGTCCAGGGTTAAGTACAGAAGGTAAGAGATGGATTTCAAGTAAGTTATTTGATGTCTGGCTTTATTTCATCTCCAAAATCCATTTATCAACCTAACTTTCATCTGGGGATGGGGAAGTGGTGGGTATAATGTAGTGGGAAATGGGTGGAGACAGTTTAAATTCCATTCTAGTTTGTCAATTCTAGAACATGGTATTTGAAAGATAGCTAGAGTAATTTACAGTTACAGAACCACGTGAGATTGCTCTAGGTCTATGGTTTTTGACTAGAAGAAAGTGAAATCTGGATATATATTTTTGTAGGGTCTAATTTTGAGTCCTGTGGTACGGAAGACGGAATGGGATGGGAAGAGAGGGAGGGGAAATAATGACAAAGATACAATAATTGCAGGTTCAAAAGAAACTAAGATGAATTCCCTCCAAATCCATAACTTACCACCTTGAAGATTATGGTTAATAGGACTAAAAGACTCCTATATCACATTTGGCTTAAGTCACTTAGAGTGTATATGTGAAAATTTGAAAGATCAGTAGGTTATGACATGCAGGACTTAAACTTTGGTTTTAAGACCTTGATATGGTTAATCATGTTTATATGTAGATGTTTTTAAACAGTAGGTAAGCATTTTAAAGTTACTTATTTTTTATACAGTTTAACTCCTAGCTTCACATAGCCACAGTTCGCATGTGCTCCTATTTCAGCTGGCACAATTGATTATATTTATTTTTCTAATTCACCTGTCTTCTAAATTCAGGCTTTTTAACAGTCCAAGAACAATGCAGTTGATAGTTGAAGTTGGAAAAGCTAAGGCAGAGTAGCCGATTTATATTTTATCCAGTTATCCTAACTTTGGAAAGTAGAAACCCACATACCGTGAGCTCCAAGTTAATCTGTTTCTGTAGATCTTTTTTCAGGATCATTGCTTTTAAATACCTTTTTAACCCTTTGAATTATTATAATCCATATACTGATTATAGAAGATTCTTAGAAGCTGTAACTTACAAGAAGCACTAATTTTTTTTAAGTGCTTTAATCCTTAAAATGTTATGGCAAGGGGCGCCTGGGTGGCTCAGTTGTTAAGCGTCTGCCTTTGGCTCAGGTTATGAACCCAGCGTCCTGGGATCGAGCCCCGCGTCGGGCTCCCTGCTCGGCGGGAAGCCTGCTTCTCCCTCTCCCGCTCCCCCTGCTTGTGTTCCCTCTCTCACTGTCTCTCTCTCTCTGTCAAATAAATAATTAAAATCTTTTAAAAAAATGTTACAGCAAGATTCAGGGGTTTTAGATCTCATGGTTTCATTCTCTGGAATTGGCTGTTATTACTTTTTAATATAAATTATTTTATAAATTTAGCAGAATTTAAAATTTACTTCCAAGAAGACTTTGCAACTTAATTATGTTTCCTAAAATTTAACTGGATTTAAGTTTAATATACTGTATTTGATTTTCTGTACCTCAGTTGTTAACTAATAAAACCTTCCTGGGTCTTGAACATAGTTTATTAAACCTGTAGATGTGTTGAATCTTTATTTCTCTTAAATGTTCTGTTACTGTTGATGAACTTAGTTAAGAGTCTAGTTTAAAATCACAAGTCTAAATCAGTTACTCAGTATACTAATTTTTGTATTGATTTAGCTCATTGTTATACCTAATTCTGAATCTCTCCAGGCTAAAGACATTTTTTTAAATATTTATTTATTTGACAGACAGAGAGACAGTGAGAGAGGGAACACAAGCAGGAGTGGGAGAGGGAGAAGCAGGCCTCCCGCCGAGGAGGGAGCCTGATGTGGGGCTCAATCCCAGGACCCCGGGACCATGACCTGAGCCGAAGGCAGCCACCCAACTGACTGAGCCACCCAGGCGCCCCTAAAGACATTTTTAGGGAGGCAATTGATTACTTTCTCAGTTTGCTGAGGTTGTTTATTGACAGATTTTTTTCAGCAGGGGATCTCTGGCGCTATAGACTCAGACTGCCAGGCTGAACCTCTTTTTTTTTTTTTTTTTATTGTCACCTAGTTAGGGAGTCAAATGCCAAACTTAATAAAAAGGAGGTGGGGGGAGATGGGGAGGGTTGGCATGTAGTCCATGTGCCTGAGTTTGTCTTGTCTTTACCTAATATATGGGAGACTGTCACTGAAATTGTAGTTCATTCCTTCATTGTTTTGGCATTGCTTTTGCTATATAAAAGTCTTCAAGTCCTATTCTGAAGACAAGGCCAGGTCATTTCATTTATCCGATATGGTAGGGCCACAACCTATAGATATTAAATGATACCAGTTGAATTCTCTGTATTACTCATGACTTTATCTGGTTTTGATAAGAGTCCATGATTACTCAAATGAAAATGTGCCACTTGTCCTTTATATTTATGGCACCAAAATGTAGTTTTACCATCTTCTTTAAACAGTGACCAAGAAGCAAATTCAAAATTCCATCTCCATTACCCCCCCACCTTTCCTTCCTTCTCCCCTCCCTTCCTTCCCTCCCTCCCCTCCTTTCCTTCCCTTCCCTTCCTTTCCCTTCCTTCATGCCTCCTTCCCTCCCCCTCTCCCTCCCTCCCTCCCTTCCTTCCGATGGTGTTCCCATATCCTCTTATTGCTCATGTTCACACTATCTTACTTTAACTTGGACACATCTTAAGATATATATAATAAATATTTTATTTATATAAAACCTCTGACTAATTTCCCCTTCCCAATGTCTTTTAACTCCTTTCCAGTCACTGAAGGCAAAACATCTTATCCCTTTTGCCCTTCCAGTCCATTTACAAACTGTTAGGGCCCAAAAATGACCTCATTCATGGCTAAGTGTAGGAGATGCTATATTAAGAAGAAACATATTTTGAAGTGAAGTTTAACATAATAAAAAGGAATCCATAAGTTTAAATATCTAGAAATAGCTGTATTTACTGTTACATTCTCTTCTAATTAAGCCTGTCTCTCAAGCAACACATAATATTCTTTATTCTTTTTCCATTTTTTAAAATTTATTTTATTTAAATTTTACTTAACATAGAGTGCAGTATTGGTTTCCGGAGTAGAATTCAGTGATTCATCACTTCCATTTTATTTTTCAATTTTTGTCTTTGTGGTTTGTTTGACCTTGTCATTGCCTCAATATTTTTTCCTGTTTTAGTGCATTTGTATTCAAATACATTATTGAGTAAAACTGGTTTTGTAAAGGGTCAGTTGAGGTCCTAACATATGCTCTTTACTTGGACAGATCATTATAATACAAAGACAAAAAGAGCACCTACTTTTAAGAGGTTTACAGTTAGTCTTCAACCATTGTTTCTAACATTGTTTTATAAGAACATGTAATAAATTCTAAATACATAATTTACAGATTAGCTTTTGAAATGAAATACTATATATTAGTTGGAGCCCACTTGTATGTTTTAATATTTTAAATTCTTCATGCTCCACTGAAGATGTAACTATTTGAATATCTGTTTTCTATTTTTCCCATTAAAATCATAATTTTTTTTCAGTAGGCGCTCTTAATTTACAGGTTATGGGGTATCCAAGAACCCCTTAAATTGTAAGCTCAGTTACAGATACATGTTCATTTTCCTAGGAAGAAAGTCCATAGCTTTTATTAGATTCCTAAAAAGGCATATTATCCCTAACTGGTTCAGTTTCTTCTTTCACATGTATGAAAAAATGAAATTGATGCTTGTGAACATGAGATGAATAACGTTTTTATTAAATGAAAGCTGGCTGAATTTATATTAGGATATTACTTCTGATCAGAGGATATTTTCATATGTACATACACAGCCTCTATTAATGAAATTCCTTGATGAATATCTTAAAACTTTTAATTAATACACATTTTATCTCTTATATTTATATCTCTTTATCTCTGCTAAACCACTGATTAAATTTGACCTTTTTTGTTTTGAAAATAGGTGTCAAAATTAGGCAAATTGTTATGAGGAAATTTTAAGGAAGGTAAGATATATAGAATTGGAAACTGAATTGACAGTTCTGAGACCTTGAAGGAACTCAGTTGTTTATGGTTCAATTTTAAATGTTCAAAATGGCAGTTTTTATTTTGGAAGAATATTGTCTTCTAGAAAGAATATAGATTGGGTTCCAATTTACCTAGTCTCTAAGAATATCTCATTCTAAAAGTCCCAGATAGCAGATGATGTCAGCAAATTGGAGGAGTAAGGACCTTTGACAATTCTCCTCTCCATAAAAGTGAGGGGAAAACTGGCAAAAATAGAATCAACTTTTTCAGAACTCTGGAAATTAACCAAAGGTTTGCAGTTATGCAGGAAGAATTTATTCAGGAAAAACCACTGATTCTTGCTAAGAACAGTGAGCTTTGTGGCATTTTAACTTGCCCCATTCCCACCCCCCTTTCTCCAGTTCCATGGTAACCTTGAAAACAAAGAGTTCACAATCATGGTGAAAACCAGGAGCCTGGCAGCCACCGAAGGAGGCAGAACTGGGATGGAACTCCTTGAAAGCCTCATGCCCATGAAATTGTCATTATCTGACCTGTCTGGTAGTTTCCTGGAAGGGACCCACTTGCAAGGCTTGTCTTTATTTGGTCTGACTCAGAGATTGCCTACTGCAAAATACCTTTTGCCTGGGGGCATTTGTTGAAAATTTTTAGAGGCAGTTTAACTTCACAGCTACCTGAAGTCGTAGAGTAACAGTTGGGGCAAACAAAAATCTAACCTAAAAGCTTAAAAAGAAAAAGTGGGTAGTGAGAGGTCTATAGGGGCTCTGAAAAAACAACAAACGTTATTTGTGGGAATCAAGAAAGCCATGCACACGCTCAGAAAAGACCTAATGAGACCTTAAGCTCTCAACTGTAGCCAACTTTGAGGCTGTGCCAATAGGAATTGAATGCTAAGGCAGAGTTGTCAACTCCCTGAGTGTTGAAGGTATGCCCCAATACATACACAGCCCCTGCCTGAGCAACAACCAAACTAAGCAAGCAGAGACTTAGTGGCCACACTCAACAAAGAATGCAGACTTTACAGAATTCATTCCAAAACCTTATCAAACAAAT